GCTGATTCTTCCTCTTCTTCAACTTCCCCTTCGGAGTTGCATTCATTCATTCCAACTTCCCCTTCAGCTTTCCCATCTTTCATTTTCTTTATGGGGCATTCGTTTGCATAGTGTCCAGGCTGTCCACATTCATAGCATTTGTCCACTTGCTTCTTGTTGAATTCTTGTTTTCCTTTGTTCCTTGCATTTGATGAATAATTTTGAAAATGATTACTAGGTCCTCCCCTTCTAAACTTCCTTTTATTCAAGATTCTCTTGAAGCCTCTTGTGATGAGAGCAAGATCATTATCATCACCATCCGAGTCTTCATCATCCAAGTGAGCTGGATCATCTTCATCTTGAGTAGTTTTTAGAGCAATATTTCTCTTTGCTCTAGCATCCTCTTCCTCCTGCACTTTAGATTTCAATTTCAACTCATAAGAAGTTAGTGAGTTAATGAGAGATTCAATAGGCACAGAATTTAAATCCTTAGCCTCCTCTATTGCAGTCACTTTATTTTCCCATTCTTTGCCCAATGCATTTAGAATTTTCCTGTTCTTCTCTCCCAAGGTGTACTCTTTGCCCAACACCTCGAGATTTTTGATCAAGTCATTGAACCTGCAATATATTTTATCAATATCCTCAAGAGGTTCAATTTTAAATGATTCATACTTTGTGACCAAGATAGCCTTTTTCTGTTCTCTCACGTTGTCACCACCCTCATGGATTTCTCTTAGTTTATCCCACATTTCTTTGGCCGATTTACAGCCTTTTACTCTAATTGATTCATTTGAATCTAAGGCACTATAAAGAACATTCATGGCTTTGGCATTCAATGTGAGATTAGTCCTATCTTGATCATTCATTTCAGCTCTCGTTTTTGGCAGAAGCAAACCTGTATCTGCATCAAGAAAGTTAGCTTCATGCGGTCCTTCACTCACAATAAACCATAGCTCAATATCAATAGATTACAAAAAGATAATCTTCCTTTCTTTCCAACTAACATAATTGGAGCCACTAAACATGAGAGGCCTAGTAACAAATTGCCCCTCAACAAACATAGCATGACTGGTTGTCATCTTTACTCCATGCCGCTTGAGCTTAATCTCTAGGAGACCAAGCTCTGATACCAATTGTAAGGCCCAAAGACAACCTAAGAGGGGGGTGAATTAGGTTGATTAAAATTTTAATCAAATTTATGCACTTTTTCTTTAATAAAAATTTACCTTCTTTTCTAGTAATGATCAACCAAGTAGATTAGAAGAAGAGAGCAATGTTGATTAGAAAAACAAGTATAGATAAGCAATGAGAATTTTATTAAACAAAAAGAATAAGATAGAATATCAAACCGATTGTCTACCAAGCTTTCCTCAAACTTGAAGACCAATCACTAGGTTGAGCAACTTCTCTTTGATGAAGGATGATCAACTAGATGTACAATGGAGGGAGCACTTCCTCCTTGCCCTAAGCCTCACTTAGTCAAGCTAAGAAGTTTTACAATCACTCAGATAACCCTCAACAAAGCTACACTAATAAAACTTTCAACCACAAGAGAAATACTCACAAGAAATTCACACCACTTGGAGAACAAATCTAGCTTTGGAGACTATTTTCTAGCTAAAATATCTCTTGAGATCTTGTAAACAAAGTGTACAAAAGTCCTTGTCTGATTCAGAATCGTTTGTATTTGAAGGGAATAAAAAATGGGCTTCATTAATGCTTCCAACGGATAGAAGGCAGATGAAGAGTCAGCTAGCCGTTGGGAGTGTCGGACGTCCGACAGCTTAGTCATCGTCCGATCCCATCGTCCGAAAATCAGTCAAGTTGTTGTTCGGACGTCCGATGGGATTTTATCGTCCGAGCTTCTGTGTCCGAACGTCGTCCAGAGAGTTATCAAAGCTTTGTGGAATTTTTAGGACGTCCGATGAGATTGATGTGCGTCCGAAGCATGCGTCCGATCCTTCAGGACGTCCGATGCTTCCTTACGAGCGTCCGACAGAGTTTCCTTCTTGATGTTCTTCATCCTTTCGGACGTCCGACAGATTCCTTCGGACGTCCGACATGAGTGTCTTGTTTTTGCTTCTTCTTTTGGTTGATTTTCATTTCTTGACATATTCGTACCTGATTCTTTGATAGGCAAAAAACACTTATATTTGAAGAGAGTTAGATAAACATTTCAAAGTACTTTGTGATCATCAAAACCAAGAATAACAAACTTGCCTTCTAATAGATCTAAGTTCTTAAACATTAGCCTTATTCTCGTGAAAGTAGTGAATAATGGTTAATTGGATTTATATAATAACTTCATTGAGTTTACTTAACTTGTTTCTTACCTTTTCTCTATGAGCATAGGTAAAGGATGATTCAAGAAGTTAAAGGAATTGGCGAAAGCAATTTGTGAGACCCCGTAAATTTTCTCATTTTATTCTATTTAATTGCATGCTATTCTGCATTTTCTTTATTAGGAAAATTTTCCAGATAATTTTTATGAGCAAATATAGTTTTTAGATGATTTTTCTAGTTTCGGTTAGTTTTTGAGAAATTAAGAGCGTGTACCGGACGTGGGACCCGCTAGTGCGAAAAGTTCGGCAAAATTCGGCCAATTGGGTCAAGTTTTGGATACCGGATTTATTTTAGCAGGTGTTAAGAGATAACTAGAGGTTACTAAATGGATTAGGGTGAGAGGGACAAAAGGATAGCCATGCATTAATGGTGGTGACAAGTGTCACTTGGAGAGTAATTCTTACATTTTGACCACTATTCACCATTTTACCAAATAAACCCAAAAATTGACCAAAAAAAAATCTCTTCATTTCAAGCTTCTCTTGGCCGAACCTTGCTAGGGAGAAAAGGGAAAAACTCTTCAACTTTCTTCATCTCAAACCTTGCTCAATCCAACAAACCAACCAATTAAACTTGAAAGTTCTCCATAAAAATCCTTCTCGTAGTAGTTGTGAGGTGATTAGTTAAGTGGGTTGGAAGATTAAGGTGCTAAATTGCTCCCTTTCTTGGGTTGTTAAGGTGAGTAGCTAAGGGACCTCTCTTTCTTCTCAATAATGCTTAATTAGTGACTTATGTGAGATGAAGTGATGATATTTGGTGTTGTTTCATGATTTTTGGTAGAAATTGGTGAAGTTTTATATTTATTCATGATTTTTCTGTTTTCATATGATTAATATTGTGTGGCCATGGATAATGGTTGGGAATGGTTTAGAATGAAGCTTTAGGGTGTAAATTGTGGCTATTTGCAGAAAATTTCCGCTTTGAAAGGAAATTTCGGAACTTAGGGTTGCAATTGAACCCATTCTACCCGGTACTGTTTCCCCTAGTTATAGGCCGAATTAGCCTTGGGTTAAACATGAAAGTTGTAGGGAATGATATTTCATAGATGTCTTAAACATTTCAGACCAATCGCAGCAACGTAGCCTGTGAAAAGACTGAAATACCCCTGTTTCCCTGTTTCTGTCCGAACCTGGTAATCAGCTTTGGTAATTGGTTAATTTGATTGGGAATACTACTGATTCGGTTTTTGATGTCTTCTTAAGAAATATAACCTGTTATCTTAGTTTTCAGATGGATTTGGAATCACTTGAATTGGACTTTGGTAGCCTGAATTATGGTTATTTAACCAGAATACGGTTCGTTAACCTGTTTATACGGTTCTGGTTTGGTACATTGAAATTTTGACCTAGTTTCACTACAAACTGGACTGAGTGACCTTCTTCAACATTGTAGCCCTTTCTCTTATCTTCGAAACAGTATAAATTACACATCCATCCGATAATCGCAGCGCCGGTTGTGTCCAATACGCTAATCGACATCAAAACTGTTTTTTTGGGATTTAGGGCTTAACTTTCATTTCCGGACTTTCCCTAGCTTACTTTGGTACTTATACGTTCTAATGGAGCCTTATTTTTGGTAGTATGTGGATTTGGTTTATGACTTGTAATGGCATTGGTGATTGTGTTTGGAAATTATGGGGAAATATTTGTAGGTTGGAAACTTGGAATTTTAAGGGGAAATGCTGTCCAAATTGAGGGTTCTTGTGTTTAATGGACTTGGGGTGCTTTAGAGGGTAAATGGTAACCCTAGGGTTTGTCTCAACCTTTAGCACTAAAGTGTTTTTACATTACTTGCGAGTTTTACGCTTTAACATTGAGAATGTGTATCTTGGATGTATGACTCGTAATCGAGTCTCATTGTGCTTATTTGGATGTTTTAGGGCGTTACGGTGGTTCAAGACGCTCTTTGGACGGAAGTGTATGAAATTTCACTTGCTTGCTTGGTGAGTGTACTACTCACTTGCTTGTTACTATGTGGCTTTGTTACACTTGAAATTGATGCCTTGAATGTTTATTTGCACCGTTGAAACTGCTTAAAGCGAGGGTGTACTTGATCACTCTCACTCTTTATGTCCACACTACAAGAAAATTGTTCATCAGTGACAACACAAAGTCATCACAGAACATACAAATATCGTCACAAATACCTTTTATTGACGACTTTTTGATCGTCACAAAGTCGTCACTAAATCCCCGTCGGTAAAAGTAAACAGTGACGACCTAAAATGTCGTCACTAAATAGTTGTCATTAGTGACGACTTTAAGTAGAGCATTTTTGACAAAAGATCAAGTCGTCAATAAAACACTTCCAGATTGTCGTCACTAATGACAACTATTTAGTGACGACCTAAATAGTTGTCATTAGTGACGACAATCCGGAAGTGTTTTATTGACGAATTGACCTTTTGTCAAAAATGCTCTACTTAAGGTCGTCACTAAAAAGCACCGAAAGCCATTGTATATAACTATTTTACTGACAACAATTGTCGTCACAAATGTAGCTTAGATTTAGTGACAGTCTCTGTTTTGACAAGGAGTTTTTATTTTCTATTTTGTGACAACTTTTTTTTTTCATTAGATAATTTCTCAATAGCTTAATAGTCATAATTTGGCCTGTAATCATTGCTAAATCATTGATTTTAAACAAACCATACAAATAAACATGAACGATTGATAACTAAAAGTATTTGCATTAGATTACATGGTAATAATATAGCATTCTCAAATGCCAAATTCAAGTGTACATTACCCAACTAATGCCTACAAAAATAACATTTGTCCAAAATATCACTTGTACATAAGGTACATTTACAAAAGCAATCACAGTTTAAGAAATTGAAGAACATCTAAATGAACCACTCCATGAGCAAAAGGCAATTTTGTCTTCAACATTCTTCAATCATAACCATAGATATCTTCCAAAAGCTAGTATGAATAGCATTTATCTGTCATAAAAGAGTAAAAGAAGTAGGTAAGGGGAGGAGTACATTAATAAAGAACAAGTAATGAGACTTAGATTATTAAGACAAAAATTACAATTCATTAAGAACCTCATATAATTTGGGCCCACATATTACAACACCAGCAAGAAGTTAGAAATCACAGTCCAATCTATACAAATACAACACTGCATAAGCTCAACTAAAGAGCTCTCTAAAACAGTTTTTTTTATTTTCTTTCTTCTTCTTTAAATAGCTCAACTTACTGAACAATTAAATTGGACTCCCACAGTAATTATTGTTTAATCTTTATGCTTTTGGTTGTTTATATATTAAAACACAGAAAGCAACTTATTGTACGAGGTGTGAATACAGGAGGTACTAGCCCTATTTGATTTTAGGAGTTTATGCTTCATAAATCATGAAGGAAACGATGCCTCTGTAGGATTAAACTGTGCAAAGAGAATGAGCTATTTGCCTCACAATGTGAAAGTGAAGACCATCTAAACAGGTGAAACCAATCAAAGTTCACAAACGCCCCCTTTGCATTATATTCATTTCTTTCAAGTCACTACATAGGCAAAAAGAAGATTGCTATCCATGCATGGTCTGTCGCTTGTACTTGGAAATAATATACTATTGCAGATGAACAATCAGATTTTTACCTCTCTATTGATAAACTAACAGCACTATATACATGATACCTAGATATTTCCCAAAGAATAAGTTCAGATAACAATGATGCATAACATCAGCCCCAAAAAATGTTATTACACAACCATCAGCCCCATAACCATAACCATAAACTACACAACCATAACAAAAAATAGTCCACAATGATGGATAACATCAGCCCCAAAAAATGTTATTACCAGCTATTACCAAAAAACAGTCCACAACGACCACAAGTTACCAAAAACTACACATCAGCCATAACCATAACCATAAACTACACAACCATAACAAAAAAACAGTCCACAATGATGCATAACATCAGCCCCAAAAAATGCTATTACCAGCTATTACCAAAAAACAGTCCACAGTGACCACAGTGCATAGGGTCCTAGGAGGCTGTCTATGTTCTCTTTCTCCATTAAATTGCTTTTTTTCTCGACGTCATTTATGATCAATAGGCAGAAAACGGCGATGGCCCATGTAACAACATTTGTGACCATTATTAAGATATAGACTAGTCGTCTCATCTAAGCACACAGGACATGCCTTGTACCCTTTTGTACTCCATCCCGACAAATAGCCATATGCTGGAAAATCGTTTATTGTCCACAAAAGTGCTGCACGTAACATGAACTTCTCCTCCCTGAAGGCATCATATGTCTCCACACCAGTGGCAAATAACTCTTTTAACTCATCAACTAGTGGTCTAAAGAATATGTCAATGTCATTTCCAGGTGCTTTGGGACTAGGAATAATCATTGATAGGAAAAAAATGGATCTTTTAAGCATTTCCAAGGAGGTAGATTGTAAGGAACAAGGATAACAGGCCATATACTGTATGAATTGCTCATGGTTCCAAAGGGATTAAAGCCATCACTAGCAAGTCCTAGCCTCACATTTCTAGGATCTTCAGCGAAGGACTTGTGATTTCTATCAAAATCCTTCCAAGCTAATGAATCAGCAGGGTGTCGCATCATGTTCTCATTATCTACACGTCTCTCCTTATGCCACCTCATATTCCGAGCAATCTCTTTGTTCACAAACAGTCTTTGCAGCCTTGGTTTTAATGGAAAATAACGCAACACCTTTGTAGGTATTTTGGAATTTGGAGATTTATACCGCGGTGCTTTACATTTTTCATTTGGACAATGATCAAGGCCTTTATTTTCATTCCAAAAAAGTGTGCAATCATTTTCACAGGCGTGGATCTTTTCACACTTCAGCCCCAACTCACAGATGAAATTTTTTGCCTCGTAATATGAACTGGGAATCAAAGCTGTAGGAAATACTTGATGCAAGAACTTCGGCAACATATCAATAGATTTACAAGTCCACCAATTCATTATTTTCAAGTGGAGGATATGGACAATAAACGAGAGTTTTGAATACTTTTCACAGCCCGGGTATAGAGATTTTTCAGCCTCCGATAATAATCTGAGAAACCTACTTGCTTCTCCTTCTTTCTCGGTACAAGCACCCGTATCAAGTTCCGGTGAATGTCTCCAACTCTCACCAAAGTTAGCAACTCCTACATCATTTAACAGCTCCTCCATACTGTCAAAGTCACTATCGTTGTCATTTATTTCTATGTCATCATTCTCATCATCAGATTCAAACCCTTCGCCATGATATATCCACCTAGTATAACTATCAACAATTCCTCGACACAAGTGATTGGTCATGACTTCCTTAGTTTGATCCTCAAAATTATTGCATACTTTGCAAGGACATGGCAGTTTACAATTAGGATCCTTGCCTAGAAAGCAAACTTAATAAATTCATCAACTCCATCTAAATACTTGGGGTCTAGGTAGTTCTTAATAGACATCCAACTCCTATCCATATTGTTGTAGCCCTTTATCCTACCATAAAGAATATGACCGCCACATTATATAGAAAACAAATGCAATGTAATATGAACTAAATTTAAACTCCTCAAATACCAGCAATGGGATCCAAGGTGTAAAACACATTTTTAGCAAAAATCAACCATCTCAAGTACAAATGCATTAGTAAGGCAACAAACTAAATAGAATCTGCAGCCACAGTATACATGCAAAAGTTTGGCAAACAAAAGATAAAGCCATAACATGAATAATCAATTTCATAGGCTGATTTTGCTAGCTAACAGCACACTACATGTTCAAAAAACATAGGATCAGGCATCATATATTTGTAAAGGGAAGATGCCCAACGCAGAAATAATAGAAGAGTAAAGCACAAATATAAATTTCAAGCCTGAATAATGGTAAGAAGGAACAGTACCTGAAACTCAGACCACTCAATTGGTTTCCTTTTCCTACCAAGAACAAGAGCTATTTGCAATCTTAGCACCGCTCCAGATGCAGCAGTATGTGCCTTTACAAGAACCTCCTTATATCTGGTCTGAAATGCAACTGGGAGAAAACGTCCAGTGCTTTTGTCACCAACCCTGTTTATCAAGAATATCCCCAATTATATGGTAAGCCACTAATGTCTTGTATAATTAGTGGTAGGAATTAAGTCTTCAGATTTAATTCTAGAGAGAGAGAGAGAGAGAGAGAGATTAAAGTATGTGAGTTTGATTGAAGCAATAATAATTTCTAGAAGATATTTTCATCTATCTCATGTGTCGGTTCATTTAAGGCTAGGAAACTGATTCGCAGCAGAAATTTATTCACATGTTCAGATGTAAAATAACTCACACAGTCAACTTACTAGAGTTATGTTTTCTTTCTTCTGTTTTCTATTTTAAATGCCATTTTTCCCACCCTGAACCTTGAGATACAACCAGAAAAGTATATCTGGAGAAATTTTTTTTTGGCATAATAAGATGAACAAGTAGCTCCTCCAGTTTGAAATGTTTGATACATATCTTTCCAATATCCAGCATCAGACATTGAATGATACTGTGTTACATATATGAAGTTGACTTTTGACCCAAAAAAAAAAGCATCATACATTCTGGAAATGTTGTATGTAATGTATTGCTAAAAAAACACCAAGATTCACCTTTGTTGGTCATGTAAGAACTAAAACATTCTAGAATTAACCAAAAAATTCTTGTTATTTTTTCAGAAGTCATTACTGAGAATGGTTTCATTAAATGGACTTCCACATCTTGCTACCTTTTGTAGCACCTAGTCATATTGGCATTTCACATCAATAGGCAAATTCATCAATTTAAAAGGTGTACTCACTAATAATTCTGCTAATTATAATGGGTCAGCGGCTCTAATTATGTACTGCAGTTCCTTGAAATGTACTGGAAATGGAACACAAGATCCCCAACGGTATGAAGACCAAACAGTGGGGAGCCCGGTTCTGATTACGATTGATAGATATCTCGTACTGATTGCTCATAATAAAGAAAAACTAATCTGCCACTCCAACCTAAAGCAAACAATGAGGCTAAACAACTGTTGTTTGCTATCCCTTTTTCAGCAGAAGCTACTTCTAAGAGTTCAGCATTTAAAAAGGTGCTCAGTACAGATATATAAATAGCATTGGAATTAAATTTTATTAAGAAAGACTGAACCTATGCAGGGATCCCAAATACTTTAGAATGACAGAGGGTAATGTCGCGCCCCACTTTTTGAAATGTGAAAGTAGTGTGTGGGATATGTATGTGAACGTGTGTGAAAATGAAAAAGGCCGTGGGATTGTGAAATGCGACGGTTTGGCCAAACAAAGTTCAAAAAGGGTTTTTGAATGGAGAATGGAGTCGCCACTTGGTATGGAGTTAGGGTGTACCAAGTCACCCAAAAGTGATTTTTTGGAAAGAAAAGTAAACAAACCCTTTTTAAAGAACTCTTAGGTCTATGTAACCAAAGAAAGGGATCGGAGGTCACATTTGATAAGGGAGAAGGCAAAGGAAAAACCTAAGGCACTCCCTTACCCTAGCCAAAGCTAGTTGCGTGACTTAGCCCTTCTTTTCTTAATTCTTCTACGCAAAATATGTGTTGCATGTTAGATGTGACTAATGGATATGAAAAAAAATGCAATCCTAAATCTAAAATGTCTCTTATGAGGCTTTTTGGTCCCAATCACATGAGTTGTGATGGCCAATAAGGAAAACTCTCATAGAGGTCACGGGTAATGCAAATGAAGACCCAAATATGAGTGCAAGTGTGAAAATGTAAGAGGAATGCAAAAATAAGATAAAATAAAAATACAAATGTAAGTGCAAGTGTGCAAATGTAATAAAAGTGCATGTGTGCAAATGTAAGAAAAGTGCATGTGTGCCAATTGAGAAAATGAAGGTGTATGTGTGCAAGTGGATCAAAATACGATATAATGGTAGTAAATGCATCTAAGTACAATTGGGTGCAATTTGTGAGGTAGAAAATGAATAAGTGATAGGGAAAGAAGAGAAAGTGTGTGAACATGGCATGTGGAGTAAAAATATAAGTAGTGAGAAAACGTAGATGAAAAAATGATATGGTAAAATGGAGGTGCATGATCCTAGAGGAATGCATCAAGTCGGGTACGGGAATGACTTCTATCTTCATGATTTTAATTTTCCCTTTGATTAGAAGGAAGAACTAGCGTGCTAAGGCTATTTTGTAGCCACACTCGCTCGTTTCCCTTACCTAAAGGGGACTCTCAAGCAAATGTACCCCATAACTAGCATGAGGATGCAAAAACCTAAAATGAAGGGGAAAGGATTGGAGGATCATGCCAAATGCTAGAAAACTAAGAAAAATGTATGAAATGTAGTGAAACATGCAAGTATGTACTAACGAGAGGGGACGGCCTATTGGGGTCTAGCATTGGACTAGCCCTTTTCTAAAATTCTCTTACAAGCATTGGACTTGCGAGAGCTCGAGGGGAAAGACCATGGCCAGCGTTGGACTAGCCACGGTGACGCATTCATCCATTGCATTCATCTATGACTATAGAAAGCAAGTAGACATGCCAATCACCTATAAACACGTAGCACATAACACTTTGCATGCTCGACTAAATGCAAGAGCCTAACAAAGCAAATTAACACGTAGCAACAAAAGCAAGCAATCAAGCTAATGAACCTATTACATTTGCTAACTAAAACAAATGGGGAAGAGGAAAAATGAATAAAAATGCTCTCCAAGCCCTATCTATTACAAGCCAAGAGGTGTACACATACCCCATAAATAAATAAATAAATGACTTAATAAAAGCGAAAGTAAATGAAATAAATGAAATGAATTAAGGAAAAGCAAGGAAAGCAAAGTAGACATGCAATTCTCACTTAGCACGTTGGATCACATAGGGGAGAGACAAAAAAGATAAAAGAAGTTATACCTCCCTTGAGTTGGAGCCCTAATAGAGTGAAATCACTTATTTATCCTCCAAAATAAAAGAAAAGGTCAAGGTACCAATTTATTTGGGAAAATTAAAGAAAATAGGCAAACACAAACTCACTTGGTCATAAAGCTCTTAAAATCATGAATTAAGTGCAATTCAAACAAAGCATGGTAGTTAATTGAAGCAAGCAAGCAATGAAGTTTGCAAAAATTAAAGCTGTCAAGGACCAAATTGATGAAATTATTCAATTGATTGGGTCGTAGCAGCATGAGTTAAAAGCCAAGGGGTCAAAGTGAAATTATTGAATTACTTCATGCAAAACCCATGCAAAGTACCATGAAACGTTTTTTGCAATGAAAATATTGAAGCATCTGATGAAGGCTTGTATGCAGATTCAGCCGCAGCTTTCTTTTCACTTAATTAGTTCGAGCAACAACATTTCAATACTTCAAACAACTAGTGCAACACAATCACTAAGCATTCATCTTATTTCCCATCAAGAAATCCTTCTTTTTAAACACCAAAGTCATGCAAATCAGATTTGAAGTAAACTTCTGCAACGGAAAAGTGCAAGCCTGCTGCATTTTTGCTTCTACCATTTTTGCTGCAATGCAATGGGTTTCTTGAATGCAATCCTAAAGCAACTAGCACCTCAGCCAACCAATCAAAGCCTCGACATTAATCCAGAAACAACCACAAGACTCAACAAGCCAACAACTTAGAATGAGGTTATGCATTTTCTAAAAAAAATTTTCGGCAAGCATCAAAAGCTCGTGTGAATCCAGAAACATTCACCTAACAATGTAAAACCAGGAGTTTAAACCCTCTTTTCAACGAAATCCGATGATCAAACACTCCCGAAACAAGATTTAATCCAGCAGGGATGAACAAACACACACATAACAGCGAGAGACGCCACTGTCAAGCATAAACAGCTCTTCCATGTGACCGAATCCACAACACAGTAGAGACACAAAGAGAGAGGCTCACGGCAGATATGCACGCAGCTTACCAATCAAAAATGCCAAAGAAAACACAGGCTTCAAACCAGTCCAAACTTGAACAAGCAAAGAAAGGAATCATGCTCTACCCATGCTGCTGAAACGAGCCGAGAACCGAGAGCTTGTTGCAGCAGATCTTAGTATACCAATCTCAGCCGCATGGAATTCAAAAACTCAGGCAACAGATTAATCAAACATTCTTTACACCTCCCACATGAAACCTCAGACAAGTTCTACCCGAACCTAACCCCCCCCATAATCATGAGAACAACCCATCATAGGGACAGTTAAGATTACCAATCATTCGCAACAGCAAAGTTCAAGGGAAATCACATGAAATTTGACAGCTTTATGATTCGCAGGCCTTCAGCCATACAAAGCTCCAAACGCAGCTTTTAGTTCATCAGATTGAATAAAGCTGTGGTTTTTCGATCAAACAGCAAACAAAACACTACACAAACTGCTATCTCAAACCCGAAAAGAAGGAAAACTAAAAGTATTGCAATAGGCCGAAAGATTCCATCTTATTGCATCCAACTTTTAGTCTAAATTTCTTAGCATACGACACAAGGCCAAATTCACAAACGAAAACTCAACATCAGCCATCTAAACACCTCACAATATCCATGATTCTCATAGTAAGCTATCAATAAGAAAAGGCAAAAGAGGGACTTACAGTGTCCTTCTCGATGCAATTTGACAACAACAGATGATGGTTGATTTCTATAAGCGATGGCAGTCTTAGACGACGCCTGATTCCTCTCTTCTCAAACTCCCGACCAAGTTCTTGTTCCCTTCCCCTTCTCAGTTTCCCATTTGTTTTCTCGCCTCCGCCGCCACCCGAAGCTTACTCTCTGGTTTTTCCTCCCCGAACAGGTTCCTCATCTGGGTCAGTGATATCGATGGCCTTGGTACGGCCATCACCACCTTGCTCCACTTCAAACTTTGACGATTTCATCCTCGCCCAGACTGCGAAACCCGCCACTGCCGGCCTTAATCCCAGAGTGTGGACGAACAAATATTTGCCGCCGTCAGTAGGAGTGATGAATCCAGAGCCTTTCTGGTCGTTGAACCACTTGACATGGCCCTTTGCTCTCTCGTTTTGCCTCTGCTCACTCTAGGTTTTTCTACTTAAACCAGCC